CAGGACGTAAACGCTTCTTACCTGTTGACTTTTTATAATGTCAGTGGTGACAGTTCACACACCTTCATTTCATAGGTTTCCACCTCAGCGCTCGTCCTGTCCTCCGTTAAATCTCTCACATGTATCGTACTTTGCCAAAAGTCTTGAAGGATCATGATTTAGAGGAACGACCCGGAGGACGAGTGTAGAAACTAAAAACTGAACAACCTGACGCTGATTAAAACATCAAATCGAGCTGTTCAGGGAGATTGTGGCTGAACGACTCCGGAGTCGAACATCGTTTACGTGAATGAAACGTTTGGAGGGTTCTTCATCTTGTTTTTTCCGTCTCGCTGCTGCCTGACATTCAGGACTAAACACTCAGCGGTGGATTCAGTCGTCAGACGGTTGAATGTGTTTCCTCCGCCGACTGCTCGCCTCTCATCTCCTGACAAATGGAAAGTCTGTAATGGTGCGGAGCTCCTTATGCCCTGTGTATTATCTACCTGAGCACCTCTCATCCTCCTGCTTCCCTGGCTCTCCATCCCCGGCCTCCTCCTCTCGCTCACGCACTCAAAGGCCTCGATGAATTCCAGCTTGACAACAGCCTGACGTCCGACCCCGTGTCTTTTAATCCCTCTTCCCCTCTTTTCTGGCGCTCACAGGAGAAAACCTCATTTTCTTTGTCTGTGCCGCTCTGCTGGCCACCTCCAGGTCTCCCTGCGTCGCTTCATCTCTTTCCTCCCACTTTCAACGGCTCTTTAGCTTCGATTTCTACTGTCTCCTGCTGTTCGGCGCAGCGTCTCTTTTTTAACTGCACGCTGCTGTGGACGGTTTTCACCAGAATTAGCAGCTACTTTCACTGGTTTGTCATCCGCCCACAGTGGAAGAAGTCGGTACAACATCCAAAATACTTGTGTTGGTGCAGACACCGGCCCACTTAGTGTTAAAATAGAGACCTTGAGAAATAGACCTCAGATACTTCAGCTAGCAGCCGGCGAGATACATGAACTCCTACATACGAGTTTTAATCATTAACACATTCATTTAATACAAATTAAACAAACTGTTGAATCTCATATTTTTATGAAATATCAGTTTTCTGTTCAAACTTGTTCTGACGTCATCAGATCAATGAACTGTCGTAGTGTCAAGTATTTCCACATGTATCCGAGTACATGTACTTTACTCTCCAGCATTGATGAAGTGTACGAGGTAGACTATATGAGAGAGAGAGAGAGAACGAGGTAGGCTATATGAGAGAGAGAGAGAGAACGAGGTAGACTATATGAGAGAGAGAGAGAACGAGGTAGGCTATATGAG